GGAAGAAGGTCTCTCGCTTTCCAGTACAAAACCATACACAACCAATTGTATTATACTCACCTCCAGGTAGGTGGGGGGTCCCGCATGTTCTTGCTTTGGTTCTGCGCTTGCGCCGACGGCCGCGCGGAGACGCGCCAGGCAGGCGGAGAAGGTGCGAGCACGCATCCAGCAGATCAACCAGCGGCCTGGCCAGTGTGGTAGAGTGCCGTCCGGGGAGCATCCGTGGAGCATTCATGAGGTCCTGTTTGGACAATCAGCTCCCCCCAAAAATGATTTGAGTCCGTGGACTTGACACTACTTCGAGTCACATCGCGAAGTCGCCAAAAAAGCGGTTTCGATGGCAGAAAATGGGCGACTGTCTTGGAAGGCGACGTTGAGGGACTTTCAGGAACACCTCCCCAGTGGGTTTCCATTGAAACCTCGTGAACCGGGTCACCCGAGGTCACCCGAGGCCGGGTCTGAACATGGGACCAGACTGGAAGATGAGGAATTCCTCCACCCAGTGGTTCTCAAGTGCCATGTGGGTCTCAGGTTCCATGGTGTTTGAAGTTCTCGATTGAAGTTTTGGGATGTCCCTACAATTGATCGTGTTCATGTATCACTGTATCACTGTATCTTTCAGCCAGTCGGGGTTAAAGTTCTGTCGAGTTTCAACTGGACGTTTGCATTGCCAGTTTTCATCCACTGTCACTCAACCATTGGTTTTTGCCAGGCAGCCAGGATCACAGCCCAGGCAGCCACCAAAGGCCCACGGATCACAGCTTTGTCTCCATCGCTGATCCAGCGGTATCACGCGTGAAATCGGGCGCAGAGGGGGCGTTTTTGAGGGGGATGTGCCATTTGCTCTTTACACCTATATCAATTTGTAGCACTGCATCCTTCAAACAGGCTTCACTCATGCGACTCGTCGCTTTGCTTCAAAGCCGACTCAGGAGGAGCATCACCTTTGAGACCGCCAAGTGTTCGAACAACGGCACGTGGCCCAGCCGTGCGCCTGAGATGACCGCTAAAGGACCGAGCCCGTGATGTTTGTGCACAAACACTGAGCTGCATCATGCCATGATGCCTTAGCACCTGCATAAAGCAATGATGAGAACTTTGCACTACCCTTTTCTTCCGTAGGCACTGTGGCTCCGAAGCAAAGGTGAGGGCAAATTAGCTTTTGGTACATGTCCAATGTCCTTTTATGTGGCCAAGTCTAACAACCCAGCTGGTTTTTGGAATACTTTAGCATGTAGTTGTTTGCCATTGCGTCCACTCCACTGCGTGTTTTGTCATTAACTCATTCCACATCCTCAGCATCATATCATAATATCAGTATACGTAGGTATTTGTTCATCAACGGGGTTGGGGGGGTGAAAGTGTGATTTTCGTGTTCACCGCGTGGTGTTAGAGTCGGTCTAGATGACTTGCAAGTGCCACGACTGGAGTGTCATGAAGCCTCACCGATCGTATAACGTGGTCATTGTCTTAACATTAACATCATCGCCCTTTCATCAGTGGTCCCACTTGACAGAGCAATTTGCATTTGGCAAGTCAGACCTTCCACTGGAGCGGGAGCGCTCTTTTGTCATGTCAATCGGTAAGAAACCAGCAACACCTGCGACAAAACGTGGCGCGCACGCTTCATCGTGATCACACGCCAGAACTGTCTTCACATGTGTCACGCTTCCCGAGACATATCGAAATCATCCGAAACTCATTCGTGTCTTGGCAGAGCTGGTGTTTCACGCTGACGGTGTCTCACGTTGTGGTGGAATGTGCTTGCCAGCATGCATACACAGTTCAACAAAACTACTGGTGACCGGCCATGTTAATTTCGAAGTTCATGATTCATGATTGACTATCATGCCGATTTCCTCGTTGGGCCCCACATCTTGTGCCAGAGGACACCAGGTCCTGGACGAGGTTGTGGTGGTCTTGAAGGAGTTTCCTGGTAGCTTGTCACCCGAAGAATGCTCGGAGACCCCGTCCAAGCCTCTATAGCCATTAGCTTGGGATTTGTATTCTAAGTGGAGGGGCCATATATTCTAACTCTATTTAATGACCATATATTCTAAGTGCATCTAAATGTTCGAACCCTATTCTAACTGATAGTCCAAGATAGTATACAAGTTGACTCAGTAACATGGAAGCCTCAGATAGCCTCAGATATGACCTTCCCAGCCTCAGATAGCCTCAGATATATGGCCTTCCCAGCCTCCACGCCTCAGAGATCCTTCGGAAACCTCCGACCCTAACCCCAACCCCCAACCCCTAACCTCCATCAAAATGGGTGCGTCAGGTGCCCCACCGCGAGGTCGGACTGTCCGGTCACGAATCCATAGAATTCATGAGGATCGTGTTCTTCCCGCTCTCCAAGAGTGCCAAGACACAGTCATACCACGTGGCTTTCAAGAGGTTCAATGGCACAGACCTCAGGATGTCCTGTTTTCTCTGGATTTTGCATGCGGGTTCATAGAGTTCATAGAGTTCATAGAACCAAACTTGGGGTTTGTGCCATCTTATTTCTCCATCCACTTATGGAAGTATTGGCCACCGGTGCCCATTACTTCAGCACCTCACCTGCCTTCGGATCACCAAACACCGAGGTCTGTCGCTTCGCTTGGAAGCCCACAGCAACGACAGCAACGCCTTGCGCGCCAAGGCGCTTAGTCAGCAACGCGCTGATGCGGTGAAAGAACAGCTGCGGAGCTGCGGCTGTACGCCACTCGACAGACGAAGTGAAGAGCTGCGGCTGTACGCCACGAACAGCCTCTTCGGTGAGCTGGAGAGGGAACCAAGTCCGATGGGTGACCCATGGTCGACCAAAACAGGCTCGCGGGAGGCTTGGAGGCTTGCAGGCTGAGATGCTTGTGTATGGTCCATGATGTGCTTGAACTTGATTGGCTTCAAGTTTCTCACTCATCTTCGCTCCCCACCCGGACCAACCCTCATGTTGTATCCTGTTTCCTCGTGGGCATAATGAATTCGGGTCATCCAATTGCCTGATCAGCGAGTGATACTCCATGAACAAAACCTTGACACTGGGCCATTGAAGACTAAAGGGCCCAGGACCTCTGTTCTTCTATGCTATTACGATGGACAGTCACTGAAGCTTTCAGCTCCTGTTTTGGACTCGCCAGTGGCGACTTTTCTTCGCCTTGTCGCTTCCACCGGACATCGGCGAAGGTCGAAACGACGGGCGTCCGAGGAACTGGATCACGACGGTGGCTTGGGGCATCGGCCATGTCATCAAGACACACGGCCGCGTTTCATCGGATTGGTCCAGAGGTGAAGAGGACAGGCCCCTGGGCCCCGTGGATGGCCCCGAAGAATGTCTGGTGGATGGTGCGCCAAAAAAAAGCATCAAACTTGGGGATTGTGCCATCTACTCTCCATCCGCTATATATATTATATATTTCAAAAGAAAGGACTGCTCTGGGGGTGTTGTGGCGGTGCTTGGGGAAAGACATGGCGTCGAGCAGATCAGAGCATTTTCATGTTCGTGTGGAGGCATTCAGTAAGTGAACACATCCCGAAATCAGGATGACAGAGTTTGAGTGATTTACTGACTTACTGATTACTGATAAGTTTGTTATCACAAGTCCGAAATCAGTACTCTGTCAGTAAGTGAGCAAGAACCAGTACTCAGTACTGAGTTTGAGTTGGGAGTGGTTCACACCACCGTACCATGGTGTGGGAAGCGGCAGCCGCGTGAATTGGATCAACGACATCAGTCGATGAAGACGGCGAATTCGTGTGATCACCTTGGGCAAGTACTTCGTGCGAACCGGGGTCGTGGACCTGAGCACTTCGTGATCTCTTTTGGTGACCTCAATCGGGGATCTCAACAAGTCACTGTGAAGGTCCTTGGATGTCCTTGGCATTTTTTTCTTTGTGTGTGTTGTTTCTTTCGGTCTAAGGAAGAAGGTGGTGCGGATCTTTCCGCAGGTGGACCTGGAGACTCCGGATCTGCCTGCTTTGCTTCAACTCCTTGGTGAGACGAGGCTGACCGACGAAGTCCAAGATCAGGATCCGCAGGATCCGCAGGATCGTCGGGTGAGTCCGGTCTCGCACGCCGACGAGAACGCGGTCCCGCATGCTTTTGAATGCTTTTGAGACCCAGAAGGGCCGCTTTTGCTTTGGCATCGCTGGGGCCAAAGACGCTCTGGACAAAGCGTGGCCAAGCTTTTTCCGGAACTACCCCTGGCCTGGTGGTTAGATAATGGAAGGTCTTGGAAAGTCGGAGCAGCACAAAGAAAGACAGGGCCCAGGGCGATCTTTTTTCCTAGAAGGAGGCCTGTGCCTTCCTCCGGTGCTTGTTTAGAGGGCGTCCCAGCGGCGCTCGGCCCTCCTGGTCCGGTCCAGTGATTTTGATCAGGCAGTCTTAACGGGTCCACCGGACCCCACGAGTGGCGACTTTGTGGTGCCGCCGCACTCAATTTCATGAGATGTTCTAAACTCAGTGGTTTGCTTTCCGGACCCCCCCCCAATGAAACGTGCTGTGTGCGGTGCTTAATGGAGAAATCCCTTTCATTTCACTTCCAGATTTGCCATACTTCTTTATCGATAATGATCTCGCTGTTGTATTGCGCACATCGCGCCGTGTTTGGACCGGCCGCCAGCTTCGACAAGCCAGGCCTCTCTAAGTAGGATGTCGCTTCGACCTGAGTCAATGACCCAACTCTCCAGCACCATGGGCACCATCAACAGCCTACGTAGTTCCCCAGATCTTTTCTCCAGCAATGTAACTGTAAAATACTGTAAATGTATGTACAGTAAATTTAATGTAGCAATCCAGCAGGTGTCCTTAATCCTCATTCTCTAGATCATTCTCTAGAAAAAGGGTTGAACGACCCCTCTGTGCTAATATCAAGGGGGTTATTCCAGCTATAACACTTTTTGAAGGATTCTACACGACCCAAAGCCAGGTCAAGCGACCTCTTTGAATGGATTGCTCGAATGTGAACTGCAAGCAAGTCAGCAAGTTCAAACGGTTCAGCACCACACGCCCCGAGGCCTGTGGGAAGGCGCTCGCCTGGGAAAGCGCCCTGAGTTTGCTGCGCGGTGCTCGAGGGGTGGCTCGACCGTGACGTGTTCCACACAAGGCATGACACCAGGACGTCAAGTGTGCAGGACTCGGAAGCGGAAGTGGACATTAGGGGGGACATGATCCACATGACAGTCATTGACCCCTCCGCCTTTGTGCACCCATTGTCGAAAGTATATGGAGAAGTGCACCTGCGTGTCACCGGGGGGATCTGTGTGACCTGTGTGTGCGAAGCATAGGGAACCCATGCAAACCCCAATGGATATAGAACATGAACATCCCGAGACTCCGTCGAGGTGGTAAAAAGGTTGGCGACGCGAATCAGCATTGGGTTGCTTAGATCTCACGTCATCCGCTCGTGGAATACGCCCTTTTTCCATTGCAAACCTGATCTTACACAACTCTTGGGCATGGTGGCGGCCACGTGTTCAAGAGGACAGAGATCGAAACAGTCCACCGGACCAGAATACTCTATATATATATATAGACTCTAGACCCCAATGCAGGTAGACATCTCGTGCACATAGAGTCTTTCAGTCTTTCGATGTTTTTGATGGCTGAGTGTTTCCTCTTGCAGTTTCTTTGGATCATCGAGATTCATCGAGTTTCTTTGGAAACGGAAACATCACGAAACATATGAAATCCACTTGTTGATCCATACATGGTGTCTTTTTTCTCAGCTATGGTGGTATGGAAGCCACTTGTTTGTTTGGTTGCCTTGGAATCCAGCCTTTTAGATCCGTTTCTTCAGGCCATTGCGTTCAATGCGGCGATGGCTGGGTGCGGCGATGCGGGTGAGTGGTCCTGGACCTTGTGGCTCTTCGAGGCTGCGCAGCCCATAAAACGCAGCATTTGAGTCCCTTCTTACACATTCAGGACAACAACTTGTTTATAATGGTTTATATATATAGGATTGTTTTGTAACATGCCCCCAATCCAGCAGACAAGTGAGTCCACAGAAACACCTTGGACATTGTTTGACCATCACCCATGGACACCTGTTGGATGGTCCAGCTATGTCCAGCTGTCTTAAGGCTTAAAATGCACAAAGAAATCTAAGCAAACATTTTGGAGCACTCCTATTCTTAATATGCAAATATAATATGTATATAAGTCATCATCCGGCATTGCCTTCCCTTCTCACCTTCTCACCCCATACACGATCATAGCACCTCCCCTCCCCATGAGGAGATGCTCCGCCAGCAGCTCACACGGACAGAGATCTCATTTAACGTGGCTTGGGCGTGGCGTTGCGGTCTTCGGAGTGGCCAGTTGTTCCTGGGAGTCTTTGGAGTGGGGAAGCGGCTGCCGTGGCCGTGTGAAGTTGGAGGGATGGGTTCTTGTGCGGGATTTGTTTTTGATGTATGCTTATACCAGGAGTCACATTCTGGGGTGGTTTCTCGTCCCATCCAGTGGGTGGGTAATGGGGACCCCTATCCTCCAATAATAGGCGTTTTGAACGTTTTGTGAACTGTTTGGAATGATCAACATAAACGGTTTCTTCTCGGCTTGTCTCGGAGGGGTGTTTGGAGGACCACATCGCCAAAGACATGCCAAGACTTTTCTTCATCATGCATTTGCCTTGGGTTTGTCTCCTTACCGGGTCAACCAGTATCACTCGAGATGCAACCAGGCCCCATCATCCAATGTTTCTGGGGATCTGCGCCCCCACATCATTCACTCCACCTGTCCACCCAACTCTTTGCCGCGTCTTTGGTCCAGCGGCACGACCCAGCGCGACCCCGTCAAGGCATGTGTGAACGCCATGAGCTTGAGCCTCCGATGGGAACAAGCTCTCCAGATCTACGAGTCCATGCGCCCCAGCCACTCGATGGCATGCTTACTATAGACTATACCCCAGGCAGGACACATGGGACTGGCATTCTTGCCAACATTGGGGTGGTTGATGCACGGGGTCAATGTAGGTATACCTTTCGCTATTGTTTTCCCCCAAAGACGGGACTTTAGGGCGAGGTGAGAAGCTAAAAAGAAGCGGCACCTTTAGGCATCCCAACGGCGTCTTAAAGGCGTTTTTCCCTGCGCATGGATCTTAAGCATATCTGTGGAACCCTTAAAACGGCACTTTTCAAAAAGGGCTTTGACACAAATATTCGGCCTTTTGAAGATCATCTCCATGGTTTGTGCCCGGCACAAACCACACACCGGCACCGGCACAAACCACCAAGTGCGTGGGTCCGGGTCCAAGCCGCTGCATGTTTCTCCAAGCTCGCCAGCTCGCCATTTGAGGCCTCCTCCGGCCAGAAGCTTGGCACTTCTTTTTGTTCGGATGTTCGGCTCGCCGGGTTTCGGAGGTCTGGACCGTCGGAAGCACGGGAGGAGCGAGGTCAAAGCTGGTGGCACACGCCTTGCTTGGGGAACAGAAACCTTTTTCCCGTTCATGGAAATGCACGAAGTGGACAAAACCACAGATGCGAGCAAGGCCTTTTCAAACAAGACTATAGTATGCCTGGCTTGTGTTCTATTCATTTGGATTGGGCTGTTTGACATGGTGGCGCCACTCATGTTCTTCATCCGCTGCGATCAACCACGATTTTGGTGATGTGTGTTCCAATGACAAGGTGCCGTATATACATTCATTTTTAGGCGGACGGTGGACCTGTGTTCCCTAGGGCTCCTGGCCCACATCCGAAGAAGGTGGTTGGGATGGGTGCCAGGGGTGGTTTGTCCCTGAGTTTGTTCCCACCTTCTGTGGATGTGGGCCAGGAGCCCGGGGTTGGTCCTCAATTTGAACACGTGCCTCCACGGAATGCCGTTCTTTTCTTGCCTCGGTCCTCAAGGACATCCTCACCCTGAACGCATTGGTCCAAGGTTTCTTGCCCCTGATGCAGCTTGGAGCGCGCGCGCGGGTCTCCACGTGGAGCGAACGCGCGGTGACACGGTGAGTGGTATGGTTTCTTTTTTTTCAGCGGAGCGTCGAGAAGTGCAACAGGCATGAAACATGGGGAAGAATTCCGAAATGCCGCTTGTCTTTGTTTAGCCCTTCGCAGGTTGAAGGGCACCCCCTTCATCAGACTGACGCTATAGCTACGACGTATTCCCTCCTGAGAAGGGTAGAACGGCTGTTGCGAAAGGTCCAGTCCCCGAAGCCCAGTGTTGATCCCGTCATTGGTTCGGTGACTCCCCACTTGGACCCCGAAAACCACGCCCGGTTGGTAGAGGAAAAGGATGATTCCAGAGGGCTCCAACAACCTCCGTTTCGAAGCTGGTTGGGGTGGATTGTGGGGGGTCTAACCACCTTCTGAGGACATGGTTGGAGGAAAAGGATGATTCCACGAATCTCTGGGTCCATGGAATCGTTCGCGGGGGGTGGATCCTGGTGGTTTGGTCAAGTGGAAGCATCCTGCGTCGAGGAAATGGACGGCAGCTGTGGCACTTCTCGATGAACTACCTCGCATGAGCGTGCAGGGCAATGTGGTCACTGAGGACCTGACCCGTGGGTTCGGTGCTGCACCAGGTGTTATGAACTCTGGAGGCTCAAGACTGGAAGGAAGAACGTGTTCCATCGCTCAAGTCCCTTCAACATGGCATTCCGCAATCAACCCACCTCACAATAGTGCTTATTCCACCAACTGCTGTGACATCCCTACTAATGGCCCTAATTCTAGAAGAACAGGTTGTTTTATCCTCCTTTGTACTCCCCAAATTAAATCCTGTAGGTCCACTACGCTTTTTGAAATTGCGGAAACTAAACATATAGTTGTGTTGAGACTATATCAGACGTCAAGCACGAGGAAATAATTTCAAACATGATCTCTATGTTGGAGGGGGGGGGGGTTAGGAGACAGGAATTAATTTTGT